CGGCGGCCCGAGAAGCCGCCCTACTCGTACATCGCGCTCATCGTCATGGCCATCCAGAGCTCGCCCAGCAAGCGCCTGACGCTCAGCGAGATCTACCAGTTCCTGCAGGCGCGCTTCCCCTTCTTCCGCGGCGCTTACCAGGGCTGGAAGAACTCCGTGCGCCACAACCTCTCGCTCAACGAGTGCTTCATCAAGCTGCCCAAGGGCCTCGGGCGGCCGGGCAAGGGCCACTACTGGACCATCGACCCGGCCAGCGAGTTCATGTTCGAGGAGGGCTCCTTTCGGCGGCGGCCGCGCGGCTTCCGAAGGAAGTGCCAGGCGCTGAAGCCCATGTACAGCATGATGAACGGGCTCGGCTTCAACCACCTCCCGGACACCTACGGCTTCCAGAGCTCAGCCGGCGGCCTCTCGTGCCCGCCCAACAGCCTGGCGCTCGAGGGCGGCCTGGGCATGATGAACGGCCACTTGCCGGGCAACGTGGACGGCATGGCTTTGCCCAGCCACTCGGTGCCCCACCTGCCCGCCAACGGCGGCCACTCGTACATGGGCAGCTGCGGCGGCGCGGCGGCCGGCGAGTACCCGCACCACGACAGCTCGGTGCCCGCGTCCCCGCTGCTGCCCGCGGCCGCCGGTGGGGTCATGGAGCCGCACGCCGTCTACTCGGGCTCCCCGGCCGCCTGGCCGCCCTCGGCCTCCGCGGCGCTCAACAGCGGCGCCTCCTACATCAAGCAGCAGCCCCTGTCCCCCTGCAATCCCGCGGCTAACCCCCTGTCCGGCAGCCTCTCCACGCACTCCCTGGACCAGCCGTATCTGCACCAGAACAGTCACAACGCCCCAGCTGAGCTGCAAGGTGAGTGGGGAGCTGGGCTGTCCCAGCCCTGGGGGAATCCGACATCTGTGAGCCCTTTGCGGAACCCAGCCCCCCAACCCGCTGACTGCCCTGGGCAAGAGCTGGTGGCCACTTCTGTTGGGTGCCAACCCCATCTCTCTGGGGAGGCCTCTGCACCCCGGGTTGTCCCTCGGCCCCACCTCCCCTCCTTTGAGGGGTGAGTGCAACCTGGGGCCCCCAGTTTGGGCCAAGGCATCTCTATTGCTCTTTTTCTGTTTCAACTCCTGGCTGCTGGCTGTCCCAGGCTTGGCCAGGTAGGCCCCGTTCTCACCAAGAAGACTCAGACCCCAATATTCTAAGTCCCTTACGGTCCCATAGCCCCTCACACCTCAGCAAGTACCAAGGATGGAGCTGGGACGCCTGCCCTGGCCGGCTGGCTCACCCTCCCTGGGGGGGTCACCCAGAAAGCTGCCAGAAGAGTCACCTCTCCTCCACGCCCGGCCGAATGGAAGAGTTAGGCCCAACGCCGCCTGGGCCCAGTGCTCAGAGCTCAGCGCCCCGGCCTTTCAGGGAACCAGGTCTGGCTGTGCAAACGTTGAGTCAGGGACACTTTCTGGTGACAGGAAGAGGGGTGCTGTGGCCAGGCCCAGAGCAAGGCTCAAAATTGCAGGCCCCACAGACTCTTTGTTTCTCAGGATCCAGGTTTTCAGGTCCCCTGGTCCCCCTCTCATCCTCTGAGGAAGAAGATTCAGAACAGTCTCCCTTAGTGAACTGCCCCCCAGCAGCCTTCTGGGCCTAGTTCTAAAAAGAGCATGGAGTGAGCTAAGCAGGGCCTGTCAGGGGTCAGCTGTCAGCAGCCTGCGGGAGGCAGGAGCCAGCCTGGAGGGTCGCCTCTCTGCAGGGGTCGTCCTGCTAGGGGCTGCTTCAAACTCCTGGGCTCCATCTGCCCTGGAGGGCCCTGTTCTCCAGGAATCCACTCTTCTGGAGAAAACGCCCTTCACCCGGGATGGCCCTGCCGCTTCTCTGCTCCCTGCACGGGCCTCTCACTGCACCAGGGCCTCAGCAGCCGTTCGAGTTGGGAGGTAGCTGCCCCGGTGGCCAGGCGCAGGCCACGGGCTGCCCTGGAGGTGGAAGCCGCCGGAGCCCTCCCTGGTGTCTGCTGGTCCGTGGCAGGCACCCCTCACCCCTTCCCCTTTGGCTTCCGGGAGCCCCGGGTGCCGGGTTGGTGTCCAAGGCAAGACAGGCCCAGGCAGCGGGCGCTCCGGGGAGCAGGGATCGTCGCCGGCATCCCGGGGTCTTCCCTTGGGGCGCACAGCCCGGGCCAACCGAGGGCCAGGAACTGGGGCAGTGTGGGCACTGCGGGCGGAGTGTGCGGAGGCGCGAGCCGTGCGCCCAAGCCGGGCAGGTCTACCCCGTGCGCCCCGCAGGCTTCTCCGCCTTGAACGCCGGCCCCCGACGCTAACCCTGTACTCCCCCCTCCTGTTTTCTCGCCCTGCAGGCATCCCGCGGTATCACTCGCAGTCGCCCAGCATGTGTGACCGAAAGGAGTTCGTCTTCTCTTTCAACACCATGGCGTCCTCGTCCATGCACTCGGCCGGCGGCGGCTCCTACTACCACCAGCAGGTCACCTACCAAGACATCAAGCCGTGCGTGATGTGAGGCCGCCGGGCCCTCCAGGCACGGGCCGGCCCGGCGCAGGACCTCGGAACACATTGCCAGAAACTGCTTTATTCTCGAGGTATAACCGTCGGCAGAAGAAAAGGGTTTGACCCCTCCCCAACCGGATTATTTGGAAAGGAGTCCCCAAGGCAAAGACCCAGCGCAGTAGTCGGCACTTCCTCCCCCACTCCCTCAAAAATTTTTAAAAATGGTGGCGGCGGGGCCTGATCTGACTGCAGCTGTTGGTAAATAAATATCCATTTTTGATCCAATTGAAACCGGCCGAGAAGGTGCTGTGTTGGGGAAACCCTCACCATCTAAACAAGATTCTGCTGCGGTCTCCCCCCTTCTCCTCCGATGGCAAAAGTGGGGAAGGTTTATAGAAAAAAGGCAAGCACGTGAGACCGTCACTATCAAATACTTTTATTTTTTGATTATTTATCTTTTTATTTTTAATTTTGTTGGAAAGAATGTCTTGGAATGCGCAAGTCTCCTTTTAGAGCCGTCTTTTGCAGGGAAGGGGGGGACGAGAAACCGCGCTCTCCCTCCCCACCTCAGAAGTCCTCCGTGACCGCAGGTGGATCTTTGTGGGAACAACTTGCGTTTCTGAAGCCACTGTTCGTCTTACAAAAGAAACCAGGAGCGGCCCAGGAGCGGCCGGCCCTCGGGCCCCTGCCGTCCCCATCTGCCTTCCTCTCTTGCCTTCTCTGCAGTCTTTCTGGTTTTGTTTCGAATTTTCTTTGGACTTTCTTGGTGGGTGTACTCCTCCCGAGCCCCGGCTGTCTCCGGATTTCTACTGTGAATCTTCCGGAGCGAGAGCAGGCGAGCAGGGCGCCCGCCGCGGGGACGGGCAGGCCCGGGAGCGCGGATTCAGGATCGCGGGGACGCGGGAAGGTTAAGGCACTTTTAAACTCTAGCAAGGCTCATCCTGTTATTTATTCTACTCTTTCCCTAATAATCGAAACACCGCATAGGCTCCTCCGTTTATCAGTATTAATGGTGTAACTTTGTTGGCAATATTTGCCGCGTAGAATTTTTTTTAGATATCCATTGTAAATTTGAAACAAAGTCCGATCTGTGTAAAAACAAATTTCCATATGTTTTATATAAATATATATATAAAATGAAGGACTACCCCCCTTTTTTAGTATTTTGGCTGCTGGGGTGCAGCGTTTGTGACACGTATTTTAAATTTCCTTCTGCACTGTATAAAATGACAATTTGAGGATGTTTTGCCTTTGTGTATTTTTTCCTAAAAAAAAGAACAAAAATAAAAATGTATAACATTTGTACCTGGCCTTTAACATTGTATCAACTAGAAATAAAATCGCATGAGTATCAGATTGGGATTGGAATTGCAGAATATCTTCCAAACCCCAAAATGTAGGCAGAAACCCATCTGGGACCTCTAGACATTTTTTTTTTCATTTAAAATAGGGGTGATTCTTAATCCTTTTTTTCTTTTTCTTTTTTATGTGTTGGCTAATCCTCCTCTTTTCTCTCTTCATTTCACATTGAAGTGAAATCTGGAGAAGAGTAACAATTTTTCTTGGCTCCTGTTTTTTAAGAAGAGCCCTCTGCCCCTCTAAATGTCATTTCTCGTTTTAAAGACATAATCAAACGTTTAAAGAAAAACTGTAGTCTGCCTTCCCCCAGGAAAACCATATATATGTAAAATATATATAAATATGTACAAATCATATTTTTTACATTTTTTGCCACTCCAACGCCAATGAGAGTTTTACTTTGAGGTTCAGACTTTACTGTTCCCATATTCTAGCTGTTATAAATCATGAAACAGCTTTTGTGTTGTTTTTTTTTTTTTTTTTTGGTGCCCTACACTTGGTTTTCCCCAATTGAGAAGCGAGTACAGTTTGAGCAGGAAAAGGGCCGCTGGTGGGAGAGCAGGGTGACAGGATGTTTCCAATCCGGTAATATTTCCCCCAAAATCATCCGGGGGGGGTGTGTGTGAAACATTTTTTAAACCTGCCTCTCCTTCTGACTACCCTCTTTCTATTCCAATTCCCGGCTACCTAGGAAAACAAACACAATCAAGTGACATTGTTGATGCGGCGGTTCGAGACCCACCGCAGTTTCTCCGCATCGTGGGGTCGTGAGCCTCTGAACCTGGTTCTTCTCAAATTTGACATTTTGGACGTGAGGGTAATTTCTCCGGTGCTCTGTTACATCAAAATTATCAATAAACTCACCAGGGCAATTAATGTCCCAAACTAACAGCTGTCTATAAAGCCGAGTGGGGATAGGAAAAGGCTGGAGACTCGGTCCCTCGGGGTCTTGGGCAGGCCGAAGTGGTGGGCTGGGTCTCCCTGACTCAGCGGTCTGTCGCCCCGCACGTGCCTAGCCCTGCGCTCTGGAGCAGGTTCGTAGCGGGCGGAGAAGGTAGGGTGCTCCGGCGGAGGCCACATCTCCGCATACCCCGCCTCCCACAGGTGCCCAGGAAAACACGACCAGAGAAAAGCCCCCAGGCCTCTAGCTCGGGAACGTTGTGCTCGAATCCAGACAAGCTCTGCAGTCAAGAGCGGGGGGGGGGGCCCCCTCCTCCCTCCATCAGAGACTGCGCCCCAATTAGGACGGAGGCTCCGGGGAAGTGGGGCTGATTAGGAGAAACCCAATGCCAGCCCAGCCGGCGCGCTCCTTGGTCTCCTTCAACAGCGTCTCCAGGCCCCGCGCCCACTCGCTTGGCCCCTTGGCATGCCAGAGACCTCCGTGCGCCTAGTTGTGCGTGGCTTTGGCGCCGCTGGACCCGAGTCCGTGGCGACGGCGAACCCCGGCTTCCTGTTCATCTCCCCGGCGGCGCCTTTATTTCAGCCAGATCTCCCAGGGCGTCCACGTCCCGCCCGGGCTGGGTAGGAGGCACCCAGAGGGGCCTGTGCAGGAAAACCGGCCCGGGGACCCCAGGGATGTGCCTGGCCTCTGTCTTCGGGACTGACCTGGGGCCTGGGGATGAGAGAAAAGTCCAGCCTTCCCCGCAGAGACAGCTTGGCTCCAGGCAAGTCCGAAAGGGCCAGATTCCTCAGGCAAAATTGCCTCCGCGCCCGCGTCGGAGACTCCACGCCGCCGCCGCCGCTGCTGCGTGGAGACTGCGCTCGCTTGGGTTGTGTCTTCCGCAGGGCCCATTTCGGCCCTGGCTCGCACAGGGGCCGCGGGGCAAAGCTCCCACCGCCACAAAAGCCTGCCCGGCATGTGCAAGTTACTAGCTTAAAATGTAAAGGCCCTTCTGAGTCTGGTGCAAAATCACTTGCCCTGCATGCATAAACGGGTATCTTTCTAGCATAGGGGCATCCTCGATACAATTAACTCAAAATCTGCACATATCTTCAGAGGGTTTGTCTTGGAACAATGCGGTCAAGATGCCCTAAGTGTATGACTCCCCCAAATAATAAAAGGCCCGGAGGCGGGGAAGTGGCAAGGATGTACACGATAGGGTTTCTGTTGGTGGATTACACATCCTGAGGACGCCGCGGTTCTCCGTGCGGGGCCGACGCCCTGGGCACGCGCGAGTCTCAGCGGCTTTTGCCCATTGCAGCTCCGGCAGAGCAGAAGAAGCGCCTCGCCGCGGCCGCCAGGTTCCCAGCTGCAGGCCGGACAGGCCCATGCTGCCTGGGGCTCGGTCCCAGGTCCCAGGTCCCAGGTCCCGGGTCCCGGCCGCAGCTCGGGCGGCTGGAAGGTGCTCAGGATGTGCGCTTTCGATGGGAAGGTGACTGGCCCACCGAGGCCTGCTCTGTCCCACTGTTTTCTTTTCCCTTCGGGGCTGAAGGGCTGGGCACGAGGAGGGGGGTGGTGGCGCAGGAAGGCCTGGCTCCTTGCCTTCACCTTCAAACCACCCACTAGCAGGCAACACTCCCTGAGGTAGTGGAGACACGAAGCTCGAATCCCCGCTCTGCCGCCTTCTGACCTGGGCAACCACGTCACTTCTGAGCCTCGGTCTGCTCATTTAGCAGTACTGTCCTTGCCACCTATGGGGGCAACGGTTGGTTGATGAGGTGACGCTGGTCAGGAGCACGACGACGGCCCAGCTCTGTGGTACCCAGACAGGAGTGGCCACGAGACCTACCCATCTCCCACCCTCCTCCTCTGGAGATCCGCTGGTGTGCACATTTAAGGACGTGGGGGTGGGCGCCATACAAGGTGCAAGAATCCATATTTTACAAGGCCCCCTGCTCAGGGACTTCCCATGAGCACCCAGTTTGGGAACCACTAAACTCCCCGTCTTCCAGTATGACACACCTCGACTTCCTCTCCCTTCCCAGGGAGAAGGAAGACATCCCACGTGGCTCAAGAAATGGAATTCTGACAATGGGCTTAGGTCTGTGGGTCCGACATGGACCCATCCCCAGGATCTCCTAACCTCCAAGCCAGAAGACCCCCAAGCCAACGACATCATTTCTGATGATGGCTCTCAGAGTGCTGCCCAGGAATTTCATCAGAAATACTCAGGGTGCCTGCTCCAACTGCAGATTTGGGGGGAGTGGGCACTGAGAGCCACTGGATTAGAATCTCTGGAGGTGGGACCCAGAAGTCCACAGTATTCACAGACTCGCAGGTGGTCCTGGTGAGTGCTAAAGCTCAGAGCCTCTCCTCTAGCCTTCTCTGGGCGCCTGAGAAAACCTTGGCTAAGGCAGCTCAGCGCGGCCTCTGCTGCCCCCTCCTGCCCAACCACCCTGGGCCGGCTCCTGAGCCTAAAAAGCAGCTGATTGAGAGAATTTGGAGCCCAGGCCAGCAGACACACGGCTGACGTTTACAAGGCGCACTGTGTGCTGGGCTCTGCTGCCAGGCCTCTTTACACACCATCCCGGTCCATCCTCCCTGTGGTCCTCCCAGGCTGGGCCTGTTCTTACACACACCACCCCGGTCCATCCTCCCAGGCTGGGCCTGTTCTTACACACACCA